CTTTCTCAATTGAAAATGCTGGCAGTCGTGAGTTAACTTTAATTCTAACGTTTTAGATCAGCTCAGATAATCACTGAACCCAAGTAAAAAAAATGACTCACAGGGCTCATTTCGTAAAATGATAAAAATTCTATACTCCAAAGAGTGCAAACAAAATGGTCTCGCAGTGCAGAGCATATTTACATGTAATTAGCAACAACAAAAAAAACAAGTTCACTCTGACACATTAGGTCACCTTTAAGTTTCAAGTTACTTCTCTGTAACCAGGGAGCAGACTGTGCCAAACACGGCTCCTGGCCCCTCCATTGGAGCAAATAATTTTGGTACCAAATTACATTGCATTACATCAGTATATCTAAAAATATGTAACATTTTAAAATTACGGACATCTCATGGGCATAATTCCATTTAACACCAGGAAATAGTGTCCTGGTGCGATCCTTGCGCACGGTGTGACAGACCGGTAAATGTGTGTGTAAATGTGTGTGTAAATGTGTGCTTGTGCACCTATGGCAACACTAGTAAATGAGGGGAAAAACGGACGAGAGAGGGATGATGCGTGTGGGCGGTTAGCTATGGAACGAGGTAATATTGATACAGTGGTTCTCAAAGAATCACTGCAATATATATTAATAGTTTTAATTTAACCAGGAAAGTCCCATTGAGATTATAGAACAACTTTTTCAAGGGAGTCCTGGACAAAAAAAATCATTAAAATCAAGGGCTCTCAATCGCATCTAAAAGCATTCAATAAATAAGTTCATATAATGTTCCAGTCTTTTTGCAACATGTTCCATGCAGAAGGAGCTGCATACACAAAAGCTTTTTCCCTGTTCTGTGCCAGTTAAAAAGGAAATAGAGAGCAACAAAAGATCATTTGGATGGCAAACCATATGAACCAACATGATCTGTTGTGTGAGTAAATGTCTCTAGGTGTAAGAGGGGCAGCATGACCAAGGTAGCCTTTAAAAAAAGTGCACGTGTCCAAACCTTCTGGTGGACAAAGAGGCCATCCACTCCAGCAAATCATTCACAGTGAGTCAAGGCTTTGCATTTCCTATGAATTGAACATTTTAATTGGAGTCATTATTTAAGTACTGTTCTTTGTTTTTGTCCCCCTATATATTAAAGGTATAGTTCACCGTTTTTACATATGACATATGTTCTTACCTTACCTTAGACTAGTATATACGTACCTGTCTGGTCTTAGTCCGTGCGCTTGTCATGGCAAACGGAGCATAAACGGGAGAACAAACGCAGCCTTCCTCTGTATACTGTGAGGACAAAGGTAGCTCCGCTAGAAGGCTACCAACTTTCCCAAGTGATCCCTATTAAATGTATTAGTTTACGTGAGTGTTACACTGCAAAGTTGTAACACGTCTCGTAAACTATATTTTATCATTTAATAGGGAACATTGGAAGTGTTTTGGTAGTTCTAGGGTGGTGAAGATGTAGGGAGCTACCTGTTGGTCCTACACAGTATACAGAGGAAGGCTGCGTTTAGTCTTCCGTTTTTGCCTCCTTTGCATGAGACAGTGAGCGCACGCGATAAGACCAGGACAGGTACGTATTAATAGTCTAAGGTAAGGTAAGAACAAAGTCAGTATGTAAAACGGTGAACTATTCCTTTAATATATAGGGGGAAAAAAACAAGAACTGTACATAAATAATGCACTCAATTAAAATGTTCAATTCATTAGAATGCTAAGCCTTGACTCACTGTGAATGATATTCTGGAGTGGGATGGCTTCTTTGTTCGACCAGAAGGTTTGGAACTCGGTTGACTTTTTGTCAGGCTACGCTTGGTCTGCTGCCCTCTTACACCTGACATTTACTCACACAAGACATGTTGGTTCAAATGGTTTGAATCAAACATGATCTTTTGTTGTCTCTATTCTTTTTTACTGCACCGAACAGGGAAAAAAGCTTTTGTGTATGCTAGCTCCTTCTGCATGGAAACTGTTGCAAAAAGATGGAAATTATATAACTTAATTTCATTGAATTGCTTTTGATGCCGATTGAGAGCCTTGATTTTATGATTTTTTTTGTCCATGGACTCCCTTGAAAAAAAGTTGTTTCTTAATCTCAATGGACTTTTTCTGGTTAAATTAAAACTATATATATATTTCAGTGATCTTTGAGAACACTGTATCAGCATTTACTCGTTCCTTACGTAACCTCCAAGCCATCATCCATTCTCTCGTCCGTTTTTCCCCTCAGTTACTAGTTTGCCAAAGGTGCTCAAGCACACATTTACACACACATTTACACACAACATTTACGGTTATGATCACACCGTGCGCAAGGATCGAACAGGACACTAGTTCATGGTGGGTGTTTAAATGGGAATTATGGCCCTGTGATGCTCCGTAATTTTAAATGTCCATTTTTTTAGAGTATAATGAGTAATGCTAATGTAATTTGTACCCAAATTATTTGCTCAATGGGACGGGGCCAGGAGCCCTGCGTGTTTGGCACTGTGTGCGGGTTACAGAGCAGGTAACTTGAAACTTAAAGGTGACTATGATGTCAGAGTGAATTGTTTTTTTGTTGTTGCTATTTTCGTTTTGTAAAATAGGCTCTGCACTGCCGTGACCATTTTGTTGCACACTTGGAGTATAGAATTTTCATTTTTAGGAATGAGCTGTGAGTCCTTTTTTTACTTGGGTTCAGTGGATTATCTGAGCTGATCTCTAAACTTTAGAATTAAAGTTAACTCACTGACGGCCAGCATTTTCAGATTTGGAGGAGTGCGTTCTGCAGCAATTTCAGGTGATTTGACCAGTGAAGTGCCACAGAACTATTCATTTTTTAGACGATTGTAAAACCAAGGGCACCAAATTAAAGAATAAACCTCTCTTGCTTTACTCTGAATAAAAACAGGTTTGTTTCTTACCTCTTACCGTTCTTGACGTTGTTATTCAACAAAGAATACTTTACCCATTACACCTGGTCGCTGAGCAAGGAAAAAAACAGAGAAAAGGAGGTATGTAAACAGGGAACATATCAAGCAGAAAAGAACTTTTAGATGCATTATTGCTGCTTTAGTGACAATCACACATCTTCACACTTGTTCCATTACAAAATTTATAAAAACATGACTTCTGAAATAATACTTTTGATGGCAAATTGTTGGCAATTTATTCATCAGATAGGAAAATTTGACTGTCATCTATTCAATCATCTCAAAACGTCAAACAACAACAACCAAAGATCAATAAAACTATAGATGTATAAATAGAATGACGCATGTGAATGTTGTGAATGTCAGTGTGCGATGAGTGAGTGTCTGTGTGAGTGAGTGTCTATGTGTGTGCAAGTCAGTGTGCGAGTGAGTGTCTGTGTGCTTGTGAGTGAGTTGAGGAGTGCGTTGTCGTGTTTTGGTGAGTGTTGTGAGTGGTGTGTATGAGTGAGTTTATCTGCTTTTTAAGTCCTCCCAGTAGTTTCAGCTTTGGTGTTGTAGAGGTTGAAACACTTGTGTGCAAGGAACCTCGACACGATTGGGACGATTTGTAGTTCTCCCCCTACGTGTAGAAGAGCTCCAGAAAGTGCTGGATCAGATTGAATCAGCTCCTGAAAGTTGGATCAGATGAATCCAGCTCCAGTAAAGTCTGTTCAGATGAATCCGCACAGAAAGTCAGCTGGATCAGATGAAATCCAAGCTTCGCAGACCTCTTCCAAGTCTCTGAGGTCCAGGAGTCCTGTGAAGGGCAAAACTGACTCGGGGGCTCCCACTATCTCCTGTCACATCTTCCTAGAGCTTCTGGGTGAGAACGTGCTGGAAATTGGATACACACAATAACATATTATACAGTGAATTTGTTTACAATATAAATCAATCCATAAATACAATGAAGGCCTTCTCCCACATTATTGACTGACTACTTTTGGACCAAACACAGTTATACTATATTATTATTATGATTATAATATTTGCCTGGGATGGTACCAGAATAGAAAAGCGTTTCTTTTCCTTTTTTGTGACACAGCAACTGCCTCTTGATGCCCACTGTAAATAATATATACATTTGAAATCACTATACCAGGAGAATATATACAATCATATGTACAATGGTTATGAGGAGGAATTATCTTTACCTCTATGCCTGTCAACTCCAATGGTGCTATAAGGGCTCTTCTTTTATCAGAATCTGTGAAATGAACACATTGCAACCACTCATCCGAATAAATCATGATCAGTTTGATGAACGAATCCGACGGTCATCAGTAACAACAGCAGCTGATACGGCTTCGCGAGATGGGGAAGGTGTGTCCCTTCTCTTGCTCGCGCAAATGTTGCTGCAGAGACGGGACTCCAACGGGGTCTTCGCTTCTCTCCCCTCTCGACCCACTCACTGATTCCGCAGAGTCAATCTCTGACGCAGTTTACACGGTTATAACTATTTCTTTTTCGCATCACTCTTGCTTACTATCGCCTAACTAGATCGTGATCCGTCTCAATGTACAGCAGCACGCTTCCAAACACTCCCACCCTCCTCCTCCTTCCGCTCCATGACTTATGACCTCTCCTGTGGTGCAATACTGCATTACTACTGGTGTTGATTTATCATTTACAGGTACATTTGCACATAGATCAGTATTGTGGGTCATTCCCAAGGTGCGCCCGCATTATGCAGCCTCCGTGTAATAACACGAAAAACTCGTCAAATCGTCATGGGCAGTGAGGTTAATATTCTAACCATGACGAGTTTTGTCGGTCTCATGGGCAGTTGAATGAGTTAAAATGGGAACCGCGGGCCTCTATGATGTGTTACGTTGTTTAATTGGACTTTCCATTACAACACCAAACACGGTTGCTTTGTTTTAATGACTAAACATTGGTCGACTGTGTATTTGTTTTCTGGACCTTTGAGGCGCAATAATTAACAGCATTTCAGAAACTTTCCATAGTATTAACATAAAATATAAAAGGAAAATAATGACCAAAAATGCACAGCAAATTACGTAGATTTATAATATGGACTATATCTAAAAAAAACTCACAGATTGATCTCAAATATTTTTTTGTTGTTGCTGGTTTTTGTGAGAGAGGCTGAAGGATTCCCAACATAGTTATTTAGGAGCAAACCAAACATGAATGAGTATATACAACTCCAAAACATTTCTTTTGATGCAGGAGGGATTGAAAAAAAAAAATATCAGATTTAATAAAGACGTAACCAACAATAACGAGGGACCACTGTATATATGTCATGTGTTTTAGATTAGATCGATTTTTTCTTTACAAATGTATTTGCATAACCAAATCACACCAGAAGACTTAACAAAGATGTCTTTTTACCAAGAACCGGTCAGAGATCAAACAGTTCAATATGGAAATACATAATAACAAAGCCACTACATTTTTTCATTTTTACTTAAACTCAACACGCTTTTAAAATTATACAGTGACCCTGGTCTGTGACGGGTGCTATATAAATAAAGTTTACTTACTCACTCACTTACAATTAATTTAAATACAAGGAAAAATTGACATATTACAATATTCCTGTCTGTCCTTAAAGGTATCTGAGTCCTGTATGTGCCTGGCCTCACGCTCCAGTGCATTGCGGGGAGGGAGAGGGTCTCTTGTCATGCAGACTATTAAGATAATAGCGTCCCTATATTTTGAAAGTGTTTCCTATAGGCCATACGCTGGGTTTGTTATATCCTCGGCGGTGACCTGAACCACCCGACACCGGCCTAATTGCCTCAGTTAATGATGACGGAATGGCTGCTTATCGCCGTCCCTTACAACACTCACAGACCGGCCTTCTTTTCTGTGTCAGCCAGGGCGGTTCTTTATTAGATGTTCTAAAGCAGTGTCTCCCAAAGTGGGGTCCGCGGCCCCCTGGTGGGCCGCGAGGGTACTGCAGGGGGGCCGCGGGAGGTCATAAAAAAAATAAAATAATTATTTAATGTTAAATTTATAATTTTTTGTTTGTAATATTAAAATATTTGTGTTCATTATTTGACTTGAATAATCCACTGTAATCATTTTTGTATTACAATGTTTGTAGCAGAGGCTATTTCCCCAAAATAAAATAACCAGAAGAGCCTATTCTTAATGTTGTCTTCTTGGTTATTATTTTGGGGGGCCACGCAGACCTGTCAGATTTTTAAGGGGGCCTCGGTGTTACTGAGTTTGGGAATGGCTGTTCTAAAGAAATAACACAGACCACAAGGGGAGCTGTGGAGCTAATCAACTATCTGGTATATTTCGTATTGGTACCTGTACTCATACCTGTCCTCCTACCTGTACTCGTACCTGTACCTGTCCTCCTACCTGTGTTGATGGCAGCGTTGGCGATCACCGCGGCCTCCGTCCACTGGTCAGCACTGGACACAGAGAAGGATCTCTGATGCCCCCCAGAGGCCATCTGTGACACTACAGAAGAGCTGCTACTGACAGACCCTGAAAGAGACCAGAAAGAAAGACCAGAGGTGGGTTCAATAAATGCTTTCTAAACTTTACACTTCCTGATGACTGTGACAGACTTCTGATCTCTGGCCTGGTCTCTGGCCTGGTCTCTGGCCTGGTCTCTGGCCTGGTCTCATGTTTGTGTAGCCTCAGCAGCAGGTTTATGGGCCTGGTCCCTGGTCTCCTGATGGTCTGGCTCCTCCCACACATCTGTGCAGCTGTCAGTCATAAACACAGATTCATCAGACACAAACCAGGAGCGACGCCAAAGTAAACTCTCCATAAAGACCCAGAACAGTGCACTGTGCCAGCCTCAAACACTACACTGAGTCCTGCTTTAGTCCTGCTTTAGACCCGCTTTAGTCCTTCTTTTGACCTCTTTAGTCCTGCTTTACACCTGCTTTACACCTGGTTTACTCCTGGTTTTGACCTAGTTTAGACCTAGTTTAGACCTAGTTTAGACCTGGTCCAGACCTGCGTTAGACCTGGTTTAGTCCTACTCTAGTCCGGCTCTAGAACTGCTTTAAACCTGTTTTAGTCCTGTTTTAGTCCTGCTTTAGTCCTGCTTTAGTCCTGCTTTAGTTCTGCTTTAGTTCTGCTTTAGTTCTGCTTTAGTTCTGCTTCAGACCCCCTCATACCCCATTAGTCTGGTTTGTCCCCCTGGGCTCTTAAATGAGTGTAATTGGAGCAGATCTGTCCTCGTTAGGCACATTTGCTGATGATTATTTGTGTCCTCCTCCGCAGCTTGTTAACTCGCTTGTAGTGTCAGCTTCTATATCCTCATGTCGTCAGCAACACTGCCCCCAGCAGGACGCAGCAGGCATCACACTGATGAGCTAACAGCAGCAATGGTGATACTAGTGATCGGCTACCAGAGCACAGGGACCTGGTACCTGTGATCCGCTGTGATCTGGTCCCTGCCTCCTGGTACCTGCAATCTGGTCCCTGCAACCGGGTCCCTCTCCTCTGGTCCCTCTCCTCTGGTCCCTCTCCTCTGGTCCCTCTCCTCTGGTCCCTCTCCTCTGGTCCCTCTCCTCTGGTCCCTCTCCTCGGGTCCCTCTCCTCTCGTCCCTCTCCTCTCGTCCCTCTCCTCTCGTCCCTCTCCTCTCGTCCCTCTCCTCTCGTCCCTCTCCTCTCGTCCCTCTCCTCTCGTCCCTGTCACCTGGTACCTGAGATCTGCAGGTTGCTCAGCTCCTTGTTCAGCCCATTGCTCTTGGCGACAGCTCTGGGACGTTTTCCTGGTACTTTGACCGTGGTCCTCAGGAGGTCTATCTCTTTACCATGGACATTCTGCATGTAGTCCTGCAACACAAACACACAAATATCAAACACACAATTACAGCTGTAGCTGTGTGTGTGTAGTAGCTACATGTGTGTGCTAGCTCAATGTGTGTACTTTCCAAGCAGAGGTGATCCAAGACGGCGGCCTTTTCCAATCAATGGAAGTCGAGCTGTTTTAGTTTACATCGAGTTCTATGGGACATTTTTTCAAGGTAGCCAACATGAATTTAGTCTTCAGTACCTTGGATGAGACAGCTATAAGCTAGTAATACCCTATCCAGTTATTATCATATATCCATGCTGCTAGCTGAGTGTGTGTGCTAGCACAGCTGGAGCTGAGCACCATGGTCTCTGTAGTCCTTGTGTCTCAGTGGATTCCGGGTCTTTGATTTGGGCCTTTATGAAGCACACAGCTCATTTGTGCAGCACCGGCCTCACACTGCTTCCTCCACATGCTCTCTCCACACACTCACTCTCTCTCTCTCTCTTTAGAGGCTGTGATGATTCCTCTCGTCTCTCTCTGATAATGTGCTGGAGAGAGCATGAGGAGGTTTTGAGGAGGCTGTGAAGTGCTAATGCAGAGCCTTCTGTCATGCTCCGCAGGGAGCACAGCGTTTACAAAAGAAACACACAGATTACACTCAACATTTCCATTTCAGAAGCGTTAAGAGTCGAGTGGCACTAATGAGGCTCAACAGCACTCATCAGCATTCAAGAGGATGTTAGAGACACGCCCTGAGTGTGTGTGTATAGCACTATATATTAGAGTGTGTGTAAGATAAAATCAACTTTATTGATCTCACAATGGAGAAATGTGTGTGACCTTGTTAACATGTTTCGGCTGCAGAGCTGCAACCCATCTTCAGAACTGTCACCGCCTCAGTCATTTATCAGCTGATGGTCATGGGCGTGGTCACCTGATTTCACTTTCTAAGTGGCCGTGGTAAGCCTCATTGACAGCTCGCTCAGGCTGACCACGCCCTCTCTTTTGCCAGGTTGTCTCTGGAAGAGGTTGTCCCATGTGTGGGTCAGGAGAAAGGCTCCCTCATCCTGGTTGATGCTATCGTTTCTGATTACAATGGCTTCCCGGTCCTGTTTGTGCTTATATCTGAAATGGCTGATTTGAGGTTTTCCTGTTTGCCCTATTGTCTCCTTTTCACTTGTTTTTTTTTGTGTTTTATCTTTCACCTGCTGTCTCCCTTTCTCTATGGCCCAGTTCAGGTCATAGAGACCTCCTCTCCTTGTCTTCTCTGATGGGTGCGGTCCGTCCAAAAGTGTTCTTACTGAGTGTGTACGCCTACTGCGAGTGTGTGTTCATACTGATAGTGTGTGCAGTGGGGTGTTCCTATGTCCAGAGTAAACACTGATCTGTGTGAGTGTGTGTGTTTTCGACATGCTATTATTTTGATGTGGTGGTGTATTTGAACACTCAGGAAAGCGAAGGTCTTGCTCCTGGCGTGTGGATGGGGCTGTGCTGTTAAGGTCTGTGAGAGCCTGAGTCCGTATTGTATTATTTCAGGACATTCGTTCACATAGAATTTCAAAAATGATAGTCTACATTGCGGGGTTGTCCACTTTTTGTTCCAAATCCTCCATAAAATAAACTACTACGATTGCAAATAAATAACCACGTTGCCCGGCATGGGGTTGGGGCTCGAAAGTGAGCGTCTGGTGGCCCCGGCTGGGCTTAGCTCGAAAGGACAACGTGGCCGGCCCTCCTGTGGACCCACCACCCACAGAGGGATCCGTGGTGGAGAGGTGCAGAGAGGACTAGGCAGCTGGCGAACGCGGAGACCTTGGCGACCCAGTCTGCACACACAACACCCTCTTAGGACGTGGAACGTCACCGCACTGGGGGGTAAAAAGCCAGAGCTCGTGGGGGAGATTGAGAGATACCGACTAGAGATAGTTGGCCTCACCTCCACACACAGCTTGGGCTCTGGAACCCAACTCCTTGAGAGGGTAGGACGCTCCACTTTTCTGATGTTTCTCGAGGGGAGAGGCGGCGAGCGGGGGCCGCCATATTCATTGCCCCCCATTTCAGCCGCCACGTTTTGGAGTTCTCCCCAGTGAATGAAAGGGTCACGTTCCTACGCCGCCGGGTGAGGGACAAGTCTCTCACATTTGTGACTGCCTACGGGCCTAACAGCAGTGCAAAGTACTCGGCCTTGTTGGAGTCCCTGGAAGGGGTATTGGACAGTGCACCGACCGGGTACTTCAATATTCTCCTGGAGGACTTCAACGCCCATGTGGGAAATGCCAGTGACATGCCAGTGACACCCCGATCTGAACCTGAGTGGTGTTCAGTTGTTGGACTTCTGTGCTAGTCGCAGTTTGTCCGTCACGAACACCATGTTCGAGCACAAAGGTGTACACCAGTGCACGTGGCACCAGGACACCCTAAGCCGAAGAGTCAATGATTGACTTTGTTGTCGTATCATCTGACCTTCGTCCACGTGTCTCGGACACTCGGGTGAAGAGAGGGGCGGAGCTGTCAACCGATCATCACCTGGTCGTGAGTTGGATCCGCTGGCAGGGGAGGAAGCCGGTCAGACCTGGCAGACCCAAGCGTGTAGTGAGGCTCTGCTGGGAACGTCTCGCTGAGCCCCCTGTCAGACGGACTTTCAACTCGCACCTCCGGGAGAGCTTCTCCAAGGTACTGACGGAGGAGGGGGACATCGAGTCCAAGTGAACCATGTTCTCCTCAGTGCTTTATGTGGGCCAGTACGCACTTCCAAAAATTACTTGTGTGTACCGCCATCTCTACGTGCGCAAATAATGTACTTTTGGCGTACCGATACTTAGTCTATGACCGGTTCGCTCATTTGTACATCTATTTTGGTTCTTTAGCTGCTCCACTGCTTTCAGAGCGCCTTTCACAATGCACACTGGCTCCTTTGTCTCACCATGAGCAGAGACTACATTACCCATATGTTTTACGGGGAAAAGGCGCATGCGTCACTTTGGCCGCTGTAAACAACTCTATGTGGAGTTCAGATCCTCAGTTAAAATACAATGAACACTCACGAGCCGTACACACCAGGGGTGCAGCGAGTGAGAGCGGCTCTCCTCACACGGGCTGTTACAGCTGTTACAGAGGACTCGCTGACGCCCCATGAGCCAGAATGAGATTGCTGCAGGTCAGACGCAAAAGAAAGCAGCACTTGTGCTGCGGTCAAACTTTCTCCACATAAAAATGACTTTCAAATCAGATCTTCCTTAAATGCAAGGAAACTTGGATCAGTTTAAAGCACAGATGTCCAGACATGGCTGGTACTGGGGAGAAGTGCAGCATCCACAACCTTTGAAGCCCCAAGTGCAAGGAAAGTGGAGCCCAAAACATGCTGCAGCCTTTTCTAAGTAAAAAAAAATTACAGTATTTTTCAGTAGCTCTTTTTATAGCTCAAGCATAGCCCTAAACAAATGTATATAATACAAGAAGAGACTTTACTGATCTCACACTGGAGAAATATACATGTCACATTTGGCATGGATAGAATGACTCGGAATGTGCAAAAGACAAAAGTGTCCCCCCATAGGGCAATTCACCCTCTGCATTTGACCCAGTGGTCGCCGTAGTACAGCGCCCGGGAACCCATCTCCAGATGTTGATGCTCGGCTTGGTCAGGACTACCAAAGCTGGAGGATTTAACCTAGTGTGCAGGTTTTTAGTGGTAGGGGAAACCGGAGTACCCGGAGGAAACCTACGCAAGCATGGGGAGAACATGCAAACTCCACTCAGAAAGACCCCAGGACCTACTTCCAGGACCCCAGGACTACTTCCACAACCAACCACATGATGGCGATCTCACAGGAGTTGCATGAGAAACCAAAGTAGTCTCATTTACGCTGCTTCTTTCTCCTCTTCAGAACAAAAACATGAACAAACCGAGCTGTTTGAGATCATTACATGTGTTTCTACTGTAGGTTTAAGTGACAGTTCTATGGACTCATCGTTTAAACTCATTTAACTGTTATGTTGTGAATAAAGACACAGTTCTTGTTGGAAACATAGTTATTATTAAATTGTATTCAGCACAAACAGCAAAACAATAAGTGGTAAATATCTGAGGCAAACATGAACAATTTAGTTGAACAATCAAGTGCAGGAGGAATGGAACAGACGTGATAAGCTACGATTGCAGATTCAAACAAAGACAGGAACAGTGCAAAATAAATGACTGCACAGTTTATAAGTTATATATATGTTAGATAGTCCACAGTCTCCTGTATATCAGGCTCTGAGCCCAAACTGCTTTTCCTTCGTTTCCTTCAAAGCACAAAGCAGTCTGCTCCAAAATGCCTCGTCCATGCTCCTGCAGCCGCTTCATGCTTCCGCCCAAAACACATACACGGACCAATCACTGCGGAGCTTCCTTGCGGCACCCCTTATGTAGTTAGAAAATTTCGATGCTGCGCGGCAGGCCACGTAAGGGCCTTGCTGTAAGCTCCGCGCCACGCAAGAATACACTAGGCTTTACTGCCGGCAATGCGAACACAGCTCCTCGGCAGAGGACCCCGGACTCCATACTCCCGGAGAACTCCCGGGAAACACGGTCGAACACCTTCTCCAAATCCACAAAACACATGTGGACAGGTTGGACGAACCCATGAACCCTCGAGTATCCGATGGAGAGTATAGAGCTGGACCCCCTCGAAAAAGAGATGATTCATCTCAAGGGGCCATCCACAATAAATAAATAAATAAATACTTGCTGAGAGGCGAGAGTGCTATCCACACAGCCACCATGCCACCCCCAGTTGTAGGACTGTCTTCGCTGACACGTCTCTGCAGCAACGTGTGGCGATCAGGGGCGGTGCCAATGGAGTGGCACACCGGGGTAGTGGTCCTTCTCTACAAGAAGGGGGACAAGAGGGTGTGTTCCAATTATCATGGGATCACACTCCTCAGCCTCCCCGGGTAAGGTCTACTCCAAGGTACTGGAGAGGAGGCTACAGCCGATGGTTGAATCTCGGATTCAGGAGGAGCAGTGTGGTTTTCAACCCAGCCTCAGAACACT